AATTAGCGCTGCCCCCTCAGAAGGCCAAAATGGGGCCAAAACCGTAGTAAAATCAATGATTTTGGCTTCAAAGAAGAGGGGAGCACTTTTCTGCCTCCCCCCGTCGGGGCCAGAATCCTCGTGAGGGGTGTCGTTTTTTAGCCCTCCCAGGAGTCGAAAAAGACCCCTCCACGACCCGCGAAAGGACCTCTCCAGGCCCAGGGGGAGGGGGTAGGGGGAGGGGTAAACCCCTCCCCGAAGGGGAAGAAGGGGGGTTGAGAACAGAGAGAGCTCGCTAAACCACTCACGCCCAAAGGGCTGGTGGGGCTTGAAGTTTTTCACGTGTCGGGCCCTGGGAGGCGATACTCGCTCGACATTGTTTCGATATTTTTCTGGGTGCTCGAAATTATTTAATCGCTTCGCTCATTCCGCCGGCCCGTATTGTGCCATCGCAGGCGTTTGCTTGCGCGTTCGTGGCCTCTTGGAGCCTCGATGGGGCCGTTTGGGGCCTCTTGGCGCCTCTTTTTAGGCCTCTTGGAGAACTCGGGAGGCCTTCAGGGGGCCTCCTGAGCTCTCGTGACGGTCTCTTGGGGGGCTTTCGGCGGGCTCTTGGCGGTATTTGTTGGTCCTCTTGGGGCCTGGGGCCTGACGTTGTTGGTCCTCTTGGGGCCTCACGGGAGCTTATTGGGGCGTCTTGGGGGTGTCTTGGAGAGTCTCTTGGGGCCTCTTTCGGGGTCCTGGGCGCCTTCTGGGGCGGAGGGCTCGATTTTTCAGTTCTCGGTTCCCTTCTTGAGCCCCTCTTGGGCCCGTCTTGGGGCCTCTTGGTCCGCCTTGGGCAGCACTTGGGCCGTCTGGGGGGCGCTCTTGGGCCGCTCCGGGGCCGTCTTGGGAGCCTCGTGGGCCGTCTTGGAGCAGTCTTGAAGGCCTCTTGGGCCCTCTTGGAGCGTCCGGAAGCGAAAAGGCCAGAACGCAAAAAAACATAGAAAAAACAAATGAAAATCAACGATTTTGGCAACTTGGGGCCCTCTTCGGAGGCCTCTTGGAAGGCCCTTGGAGCGTCTTGGAGGCCTCTTGGGCTGTCTTGGGGCCATCTGGGGCGTCTTCGGGCGATCTTTGGCCGTCTCGGGCCTCTCTTGGACCGTCTAGAAAGCTTCTCGGGGCCCTCTTGGACCGATCTGGAGCCCTCTTGGACTCCGAAACAGAACTCCGGCATCTCTGACCCGACCTTGCCGGGACCTTGCCGGGGTACTTTTCGTCCGGGGACCCCCAGGGGCCGCCCCGCGCGCGCGAACTAGAAATACTGTTAACCAGGTACCGGAGATCTTAGCACGCCCTGGCCCGTTGGGCCGGCGAATTTGTGGAATGTGGCCCTTGAGTACGATGGGAGCAAGATAACCGTACACCGCCAGCCTGAGATCCAGCGTGGCGAAAAAGTTGGAGCACCGCGAGAAAGCATGCCCGGAGCACCGTACCCCATACTTCTCGAGCCGGATCAATATGGGCCGCAAAAGGGCGAAAGCGCCCGGCCCGAAACAATGGAGCCGCCAGGAATTCAGGGGCCACCCTGCCTGGGCAGGGGCCCGCCTGGGCCCTGCAGGGGCGCGTGCATATGCTCCCCAGGGCCTCGGCCAGGAGGCCGCGACGCAAGCCGTGGTGTCCCGCCCTCCCCAGAGATCCTGGCGACTCATGTTCTTCGAGCCGGGTGTTCTCGCCTCTTGCCGGGCCCTGGGACCCCCACGGGTCGATCTGACCCGAAAGATGGCGCAGCAAGATGGGGTCTAGCTCCAGGCGTGACTCTTTACGATGCTGCAGTTTTTTCGCTACGTGGGATCTCAGGGGCTGCGCAGAGGATCAAGCAGTGGCGAAGCGTCCTGGCGTGCCTATAGGCTATAGGTCTACCAAACAATGTTCTAAGAACCGTTTGTGGTTTCCACGAATATTTTACTAAGCCGTTTGTCTACCAAACAATGTCTGGCTGGGACTATTATATTTTAGCATATCGGTTCTACGTTCTAAGAACATGGTTTTTGTGATTGGCACATTTTGGGGTTCTAAAAGCAGTCCGTGGTAGGCCCGTAGGAATGCCGGGACGGTCGGTCCCTGCTCAAGAGGACGACTTCCCCGCGCTCGCCGGCGCGGCCGCCCACGCCGCCGCGCGCGAGCCCTCCGCGCCAGCGCCCGCCGCGGCCTGCCGCGCGCCGGCGGCCGCGCCCGCAACCAGCGCAGGCGTGCGCAGGAGGAGCGCCAGCAGGGCGGCGGCGCCGCTGCGGCTCAGGCCGCGGCTCTGTCAGGCCGTCGTCCTCGTCGTCGTCCTCGTTGTGGTCGTCGTCATTGTCGTCGTCGTCTTCCTCGCTGTGGTCGTCGTCGTCGTCGTCGTTGTCGTCGTCCTCGTTGTCGTCGTCGTCCTCGGCCTCGTCGTCGTCGTCGTCGTCCTCGTCGTCGTCTTCGTCATCGTCGACGTCGTCGTCCTCGTCGACGTCGTCGTCGTCTTCGTCGACGTCGTCATCGCTTTCGCTCGCCGTCGTCGTCGTCGTCGTCGTCGTTCGCGGGCGGGGAGGGCTCGCGCGCGGGGAGCACACGACAGACATGATCGCGTCGTAAACAAGAATCAAGGCGGCGGCGGGTTTTTGGCAGCTTTCGACCTCGGGGGCTCCTCGCCGGGCGTCGGGACCTTCAGAAAACGCCTCAAGCTGAAAAGCAGGTCCCGGGGAAAGGGAAAGGGTCGGGACTTCCGGGGACCCCGTAGGGAAAATCATCCGGGCGTCGCAGGTCTGGGCACGACGGGTGCGCGCCGCGCGGACGCAGCGGCGACCACCGCGCGGGCGCTCCAGGCCGAACGCCGCCTGCGGCCCCGGATCAGCCGACACGGGACGGTCCACGCTCCACGCGGTCGGAAAGCGACGATCGTTCGAGGTGAGACGATCCCGGCGGTGACAGAAGCCAGCGCCAGCGTCGTTCCGACACGAGCATGATGCCGTGTCCATGTCTCAAAGGGAGGAGGAGCCACCCCGACCCCGACGATCGGCGTGTGCGAAACGGCCCTGGGCGTTTACGAAACAGCCCTGCCCTGTTTTCTGGGGATAGAATTTCTTCGGCGGCGAGCGAGGGGGGAAATTGAGAAGAAGAAGGCCTTCTCAGAAGGCGGCGGGATTTCTCAGAAGCCCTCGCGCCTTATGAGAAGTTGTTCCTTACCTAGGCTCAGCCTAGAAGGGTTCTTACCCTCTGTGCTTAAAGGGCCGGGCAGTGTTCCTCGCCCCGGGCGGTTCCCCCAGTATCCGCCCCGCCGTTCCCCCAGTTACGTCCCCTTAGCTTAGCGTTGCTTATATCATCTTAGCTTAGCTTATTTCATCTTAGCTTAGGTTAGCTTCATCTTAGCTCAGGTTTGTCTTAGCTTAGCTTACCTTCATCTTAGCTCCGCTGAGCTTTAGCAGAGCACAGCATAGCATAGCATAGCGTAGCATCGCATAGCGCAGCACAACATATCATAGCATAGCCCAGCATAGCATAGCATAGCGCAGCATAGCATAGCATAGCATAGCATAGCATAGCGCAGCAAAGCACAGCACAGCATAGCACCGCGCAGCATAGCATAGCAGAGCAGAGCAGAGCAGAGCATAGCAGCAAAGCAACGGTAAAGCAACATCAGCGACAACAAAGCAAAACACAAGCAACGCAAAGCAAAGCAAAGCAAAGCAAAAACAAAAGCAAAGCAAAGGAACGGCAAAGGAAAAAGCAATGTCCGAGCTAGCTTAGTTTAGCTTAGCCTAGCCTAGCTTAGCATAGCGCAGCGCTGTATTAGCATAACACAGCATAGCATAGCATAGCATAACATTGCCTAATCAAGCATAGCATGGCATAGCATAGCATAGCATAGCATAGCGCATAATAGTATATCATACCATAGCATAGCATAACATAGCATAGCATAGCATGGCATACCATAGCATAGCATAGCATAGCATAGCATAGCATAGCATAGCAACTAATGCTGCTGTCCTAGGGGTTCCAACTTCTAGGTCGGGTCGCACTGGGGTAATTTCTGTTTCCGGGGACGGCTTAGACAACTTCTCAGAAGTCCGGGGGACTTGCGAGCCTTCTGAGAAGGCACGCCCCTTCCCACTTCCCCTCGTGGCTCGCCGCCCATATTTCTGCTCTCTGACGTCCACGGCCTCACGGTCCAGACCCCTCGGACGCGGCCCCGCGGATGGGCCCCCGTGGATGCGAGGCGGCCCTGGACGGCTGCTCCGCGCGGCCTGCGTCCGCGGGATCGCGCAAGCATGTCCATGGGGTCGCACCCTCGTGAATGTCCAGACCCACGGGGGCATGGCTATGGTCAGGTCGGGCTGTCCCTCTACAGGGAGAATATTCAAAAATAGTAGAACAAATCTGGGGACGATTTGTGGTTTATTCTTCTGGGCATGATTGGAGCATTTTCTGGGTATGTTCCATGTTTCGCCCAAAATCCCCCTGTAGGTAGGTGGACAGGCCCGACCTAAGGCTATGGACACGCCCACCGCTCGTGACAGGCCGACGGCTCTCTGGGCGGCCTCCCGGAGACCCAGGAGCCAGAGGGAGCAAGGAGAAACAGCGCACCGATCCCGACAACAGCGACGGCGAAAGGCGTCGTCGTCTCGAAGGTGCTCGGAGGTCCTCGCCGCCACGGCTGGAAGCGACTCGAACATCAGGCCGGGAGAGAGCCCAGGAAGGACCCGGGGGCCGATCTGAGCGGATTCTCGGGTATGTCGGAGGTTGATAGGCTTCCTGCCCTGACACGTCGATTCGCGGATCGGCCGTTTTCGGTTCGCGAGAGGGCGTCGCGGCCGTCATTTTTGCGGGTCCAGGTCCGTCGGTTTCGGTCCCAGGCCGTTTTCACAAAGGGAGGCTCACTGAAGGGAGGCCTTTGTCCACCGCCGAGCGTGGGCAGTCACACCCATCCCGGTGTGTGCCCTGTCCCGCCGTCGTCGCCACGGCCGGACCTGCCCCACGGAGAGAGGCCCGGGCAGAGCCGCGGCGCGCGGGCGATGCCGTGCCCCCCTCGCGAGGAGGACGAGGTGACGTCCATCCGGGCCATCTACGAGGGCGCCGTGGAGGAGCTGCCGCTGCGCGGGGCCTCCGACAGCACCGCCGAGGACGAGCTGTCCGGGTCCTCCGAGGGGGAGGCGGAGGAGCACGCCGCCCCGCGGCCGGCGCCGAGGCCCTCGACGCCGGTCCGGCGATACAGGGTCAACCTGTCGGCCAGCCTGGGCCAGGAGGGCTGCGGCCGCAGGAGGGCGTTTGCGTAACCTCTGGGCCACGACGCGCGCTATGCCCCCTCCCCCCTCCCCTCCCCCCCAGACCCCCTCGAGTCATGAAAAAAACACGACGTGAGGTTTTTCGCTATTTTCGGCCTCTGGGGACCCTCACCGGCCCTCAGGACCGTCAAAGAACGACTCAGGATGATAAGCCGGTCCCGGGGAATGGGTCCGGACCTCTGGGTGTCGCGTCATGAAAAAATCATGACGTCGGGGGTCTGGGCCCCCTCCATCCTGTGCTCCCCCCACTCAGAGCGCCCCCGGCACTGCCGCAGTGCTTCCGGCACCGCAGTCTGGGGGGGGGGGGGGGGGATGTGGCGCAACGTCATGCCCCCTCCCGCCCCCCCCCCTCTCTCCCCCCCCTCCAAAACGCCCGTCGTGGCCGCGAAGAAAAACCACGCTCCAGCCCGCTGCCCACTGGCCACCCACTGCGCGCGCAGCCGTGCAGCGGCCCCACAGCGCAGCTGGAGGTGCAGTACGGTCGCCTGTACCCGCTGGAGACGCCCGCGCTGCTGCTCCAGAAGGTGGACGGCCTGCCCCAGGCGGCCGTGGAGCAGATGCACCGCCTCGTGCGCGAGGAGCTGCAGCAGAGTGCCGGCAGGGAGTGCGTGTTCCAGATCTGCAACGCGATCCGGGCGGGTGTGAATGTGAATGTGAAGTCGGGCATGGCCCTCTACAGGGGGAGTGCTCGAGAATAGTCGAAAACTAGTCACGTGAATATGTGTCTCGCTCGTTTGGCCATTTTTGTTTTTGATACGGTTGTTCATTGTTTTTGTTCAGGATCCGCCGTAGGAGGACATGCCCGACCTAATGTTAAGGGGGGGCGACTTACAATGAAGGTGAGAAGAGGGCCGCAAAGAGACCCTTCAGGTCCCCTCTCGGGCTCCTGCTGGCTCCAAGGGGGGCCCCGAAAGGCCCCTCTGGGGCCCTTCTCCCCACCCTCGACTGTGGGTCACCCCCCATCCACACCCGCCCCAGCGATCATCGAGTTCCTGCGGCAGCACGACGATCCGCTGGCGGAGGTGGCCCTCCACGACCGCATGCAGCAGCGCGTGGCCGAGGAGGAGGAGCAGGCGCGGCGGCGCGCGGCCGAAGCGGAGGAGCAGGCGAGGCGCCGCGCCGCGGAGGCGTGGGAGCGCCAGAAGCAGCTCGAGCGGGACCGCAACGCGCGCTACCAGCGGATCCGCGAGGCCGCCGAGCGCGTCGGCGACGCGGGCCGGCGCGGAACCCTGGAGTTCGGCCCCGAGGGCGGGCTCCCGGGGGGGGGGGGGGGGGCAGAAGTCAGACAGGAGGGACGGAAACACACAGACACAGTGAATCGCCGATCCCCAGGAAAATAAGGGAAAATATGGGAAGTGGGGGGAAGACAGAAACCAATGAAATATGGGAAAAGATGGGGAATTATCTTATTTGTGTGTACTTATTTGTGTGTCCCAGGGCCCCTTCAGTCAGGGGCGACGATAGGGGGGGCTATAGGCACAGGGGGGGAGGCATCGACCCCCAGTCGCCCACTGATCGCCGATAGGGGCCCGAGAGCCCCAAGGTGCCCAGGAGGGCGCGGAGTCACTATCGGGGGCGTCTCGCCGAGCTATCGGCGATGTATCGCCGATTCCAGGTCGATGCATCCCCCCCTGTGCCAGTCCCCCCCTCATCGTAGCCCCCCAAGAAGGCACCGGTGCCGCTACTCTCCTCGGACTTCGCCCCTACGGGGCGCGTTCGGCCCATGGCCTAGAAGGTGTCGGGGCGCAGCCGGCCGTGGCGGCGAGGGCCTCCCAGGAGGCTCATCGAGGACAAGGCGAGGGAAGGGTCCCAGATATGCGACGTCCGGATGTTTTTTTTCGGACGGCGCCCCCGGAGGTCCAGGCCCTTTCCCCGGGACCGGCTTCTCATTCCGAGCTGTTTTTTGTGACGGTCCCGCGGGGCCCGGCGAGGGCCCCCCCGGGGCCGAACATGGCCACAAGAACCTCCCGTCCGGATGCATTACCACGCGATCTTGCCCGGGCACCAGAATCGGTATGCTTATTTTCAGGAGGGACAAAACACACAGACACAATGAATCGTCGATCCCCAAGAAACTATGGGGAGATATGGGACTTGGGCGGGAAGGCAAACACCCAGAATATCTGGGAAAATATGGGGCATCGTTTGATTTGTGTGTATTTATGTGTGTGTATTTATATAGATATGTGTGTGTGAATGTGTGTGAATGTGTGTGTGTGTGTCCTTGGGCCCCTTAATGCTCCTCCGAGGCTCGGCGCGGCGGCGCCCGGCCCGCCCGTCGCCTCGGCGGGCTCGGCGCGGAGGCACCCGGCGAGCCCGGAGCTGCGGCCGCTGTGCGCCCCGGACTTGCGGCAGCCGCCGGCGGCGCTGCCAGGGCGAGGGGCCCTGGACGTGGGCAGGAGCAGGGCGCCTCTCGCTGCCTCCGCCTCGATGCTCAGGGGCCACGATGGGGGGGAGGAGGAGGAGGAGGAGGAGGAGGAGGAGGAGGAGGAGGAGGAGGAGGAGGAGGAGGAGGAGGAGCAGGAGCAGGAGCAGGAGCAGGAGCAGGAGCAGGAGGAGCAGGAGGAGGAGGAGGAGGAGGAGGAGGAGGAGAAGAAGAAGAAGAAGAAGAAAAATGATAAGAATAAGGGCACAGGGGTGGATGCATCGACCCCCAGTCGCCCATTGATCGCCGATAGGGGCCCGGTAGCCCCAACCTGCCCAGGAAGGCGCGGGGATTCACTATCGGAGGCCTGTCGCCGATCTATCGGCGATGTATCGCCGATTTCAGGTCGATGCATCCCCCCCCTATGCCAGTCCCCCCTCCCAATCGTTGCCCCTCAGATTCGGTTCGGTTTCGATCAGTTCCGATTCCGACTCGATTCAATTTCGGCTTCCCGCTATGGTTCCGATCTCTTCACGACGGCCTGCCAGGCTGCCGATCTCCGCCGATGGGACTGTTCCCGGCGCGGCTGCCTATGTCCGCCGAGCCGACTCATGTCGATCGCCGAGCCGACTTGGCGACTCGATTCCGTGGGCTGTCCTGCAGGAGGTCCGCGCGCGGGGGCGGACGCAGGTTGGCTGCACGTAAGACCTCAGATTAAATCGGGCGTGTCCCCCTACAGGAGCAACATTCAAAAATAGTTATAAAAATAGTCTGGGGACGATGTTTAGACTATTTCTGAATCTGTTTTGAATCGTTTGGGGGATTTTTTTTGATGTTTCGTCCAAAATCCGCCTGCAGGGGACACGCCCGACCTAAACCTCAGATCCTGGTGGTGCCATTTGTCACGACGGGGGATGTTGCCCTGGCTCGGGCCCCGTGGCCCTCCCCCTATAGGCCTCCTGGATGGGGTCGGAGCAGGTGCGGTCGGCGGATTGCGCCACAGCGCCGATGCATCGCCGATGCGGCCCGATCCAGGGCCCGATTGGCTTCATGTCGACGTCGCCCCTGCATCGCCGACGCCGACGATGCGCCGCTGGTGCATCCCCGATGCAGCGCCCATGCATTGCCGGTGCCTCGGCGATTCGGGGCGATCCTCCGACCCCATCTACTCCGACCCCATCTAGAAGGCCTATAATTGCGAAGGCCTTACGGCCGGTGCCGCCGACCCTGCATGGTGGCGACAACCACGACCACAACGACGGAGCTCTCGGGGGCCTCCTTGGGGTAGGTTGGGGGCCTCTTGGGAAGCTCGTGGGGGCCGCTTGGGGGCCTCGTGGGGGCCTCGTGGGGGCTTCCTGGGCGTCTCTTGGTTGGGGCTTCTTGGGGGGGAGCGCCCCCATCTAGAAGGCTTCTAATCTTTTTCTCATCGGCGGATTCTGCCCTGGCTCGGGCCTCGGGCCCCTCCCGCACGGCGCTCACGGGGGCTGGCAGGCCGCCGCCGTCGCATGCCGCACGCAGCGGCCGACAGAAGCCGCGCACCTGAAAGGGCCACTCCTGTCTGCAGGGCCAGTCTTACGTGTAAGTGGGGCGTGTCCCTCTACAGGAGGAACATTCAGGAGTAGTCAAAACAATGGTCTGGGGATTTGCTTCCCATGTTCGATTGTTCGGGGAGTGGTTCTTGGGTACGTTTACCAACACGTCCCCGAAAAAAATCCCCCTGTAGAGGCTGGGCATCGCTCGGACGTGTGCATTTTTCTTTCGGCGAGGACCATCGAGGAGCATCCTTGATCATTTGGCGAAAAAGCCACGCACGAAACCGAAAAAAACACAAGGAATGGACGTCCGAGCGATGGCGAGGAGGGACAGGCCCGACCTATAACGCCAGTCTTGCGTGCAGCCAGTGCAGGGAGGAGGAGGACGACGAGGCCTCCGTGCTCCTCTCCCGCCGCTTCCACGACCTGGCCCCCGGGCGCGGCGGTGGCAGCGACGGCCCGGTGGAGTTCTCCCTGCGCGAGGGCTCCTCCGGGGGCATCGTCTTCGAGGCCGACTCGGAGAGCCAGCCGCAGGCCCAGGCTTACGTCGGGCGTGTCCCCCTACAGGAGGATTGTCGACGAAAAACAAAAACTACCCCAAAAATACCCCAAGAAGGTCAAAACATACCCAACAAATAGTACCCAGATTATGTTTGGACTATTTTTTTATTATTTCTGGGGTATTTCTAATTTTTCGTCGAAAATCCCCCTGTAGGGGGACAGGGCCGACTTAAGCCCAGGCCCACGCTGCCGCCGCGTGCGCGGCGCGCGGCAAGCCGAGGGCCACGGCGGACAAGGCCGCGTCGCCCGGCCCGGGGCGGCGGCAGCAGGACCGCGCCGCCGCGGAGAGGGCGGCCGCGGCCGTCGGGGCCGCCCCCGGTGCTGGGCGGTACGCCGTCGACTTCGAGGAGCTGGGCTTCCTGGGCCGCGGCGGCTTCGGATCGGTCACCAAGGTGCGGCACAGGGTCGACCGGCAGCTCTACGCGATCAAGCGCATCGAGCTCACCGGCTCCCAGGGCAGCAGGGAGCAGATCCTCAAGGAGTGCGCGACGCTCCCGCGGCTGACCCACCTGCACATCGTGAGGTACTATCAGGCGTGGAAGGAGGTTGAGGTCGAGGGCTCGGAGGCGCAGGCGCCGAGTCACCCGACCGCGAAGAACGCGGGCGCGTCGACCAAGATGCGCCGCGTCAAGTCCCTCGCCAGCACACCGCACCCACAGGACGGCGACGACTGGCTTTCCATGGCAGGCTGCACGCCGCATTGCTCCAAGAGCCCGTCCCCTGGCCAGGCGCGCTCGCCCTCCCGCGAGTTCCTGTACATCCAGATGGAGTTCTGCGACGGCACGACCCTGAGGGAGGCCATCGATCGCGGCGTGCTGCACCAGGACGAGGCCGCGATCTGGAAGCTCTTCCGCCAGGTGCTCGACGCGCTCGCCTACGTGCACTCCAAGAAGCTCATACACCGGGACCTGAAGCCCGCGAACGTGTTCCTGTCGAGCGAGGGAGGGGGCCACGTGAAGCTGGGGGACTTCGGCCTCACGACGGAGGCTTGAGTCGGGCATGTCCCTCTACAGGAAGAATATTCAAGAATAGTCAGAAGATAGGCTGGGACAAGAATAGTCAGAAGATAGGCTGGGGACGTTTTTTGAGTAATATTATTGTCTCATTTGTGTGTTTCCACATGTCTGGGGTATGTGTTGTTTGTCCTCCCAAATCCGCCTTTAAAGGGACACGCCCGACCTAAACGGAGGCGCAGCAGGCGCCCGACGCGCAGCCAGGGCCAGGCGCCGGCGGGCGCGCTGGCGGGAGGAAGGAGCTGCGGGGCCCCGTCGGCACCGCCTTGTACATGGCCCCAGAGGTCCGCTTGGAGGGTTTCTCCGAAGGGCTGAGGCGACCCGTCCTCCTCCTCCTCCTCCTCCTCCTCCTCCTCCTCCTCCTCCTCCTCCTCCTCCTCCTCCTCCTCCATCTCCTCCTCCTCCATCTCCTCCTCCTCCATCTCTCCATCTCCTCCTCCATCTCCTCCCCCCCCCTCCTCCTTCTCCTCCATCTCCTCCTCCTCCTCCTCCTCCTCCTCCTCCTCCTCCTCCTCCTCCTCCTCCTCCCCATCTTCCTCCTCCTCCTTCTCCCCATCTTCCTCCTCCTCCTCACTCCTCACTCCTCCTCCTCCTCCTCC